TAGTCTAATAAAAGTTTGTTTTATATGGAGAGGGTCTCCTCATGATGGCAGCCATGTTGAAACCACATTACTAGCTAAATATATGTCAATAACCATCCCGTTTTTTGGAATACTTTTTTTTGGAAATTAATTAATTAATTCTGACTGCAAACTGAGTATTTCTACAAAGGCATTGATTCTTGATTGTTTCTTATGGCGACTGCAATATATATATATATATATTTAAAAAAAAAAAAAAAACTAAAATCACCCAGAGTATTCAGAACTGGACTGGTCCTCTTTTTTTATACCTTTTTGTAAATTGATTGAATTCCTCAATTGACATCAAGTTTAACACGTCAAAAGTAATCCAAAAATGTAATTTGTGTAAAATAAATAAATAAACACAAATAAAATAAAATAAATTAACAAAATAAAATAATTTTGTAATATATAATGGTGCTAATCCTGACTTTGCAAGAGTTTAAAACGTACATAATGTACATTTGTAATATATATGTAATGTTTTCTCATCTGTAGTACATAAAGTAGATGTAGTGTGATGTATTGAAAGCAATGTGTTTCTTTGTATATGGTGCCTTACAATTACTGGGACATTACAAGTAACCTTCAGAAGAAAATTTGCTTTTAGGGTCATGTAAACATCTATCAAAGCAGAGTAATTTAATTCAACTGAGTGCATGGTGAATTAACTGAACTTGGACATATTAGGAATGTCCATTGTAATAATCAGCTTCTAGGAGGATTTTTATCTCAAAGGCCATTTGTTTCCACTTATTAGTTCAAAGAAGCCCCTTCATGCTGGTGATTGCTGTTCAGCATGAAGATAATGCAGTAATTTAGTATGTTTATAGATTAAAGGCAAGGAGCATTTGGCTTATCTTGCAAACTCTGCCCTTTTCCATGGATTTTCCCCTCTTTTTTTAGATGTTTTGCTTATTTGAGCAATGGAGCATTTGATCACACTGCACTTAATATGGATTAGGAAGGGAGAAACGATGATGAACTCACTTGAAATTGTGGCAGTATTAATTATGAAACAAATTACGGCAGAGCTATTTGTGTGTGTTTCTAGTCTGCATAGCTTCTATATCTGCATTTTTTATACTGTATGTAGATCACTTTAATAGCTTAAAATATTTTATATGTAACCTCTGACTACATATAGTTTTGAGATATAGAACACAAATGAGCACACATTGGGATTTTACCATGAACACAGTATTAGATACTGTAAGCATTACATCAGGCTGAAATGTGACCTCATTTCCATTAGATGATTACCATTATTATCTGTATGTTAACCAAGCACTCTTGCTCTCCTTAGCAGTGTTATTTTCTTATTATTTATATACTATTATAGTTGTTATTAATCTTTTGAAATAACTTTTGTATTTGCAGTTTATTTTACTGTTAGTTTTATTCATTATTACTATTGTTTTAACAATACTATTAAGGTGCATTAGTCTTTCAATTTTATTTTTAACTAATTTCCATTGAGTAGTTTTAGTGCTTCAACTAAAACTTTTTTCAGTTAGCTGTCAAGGTAAAATTTCATAGTTTTTTCCATCTAATATTATATTTTATATTTTATTTCAGCTCTATTTCAATAAACAAAAATATTTCCATTAGTGTTATTGAGATTATATCTATTAATATAAATTATATCTATAAATATAAATAAATAGTCTTATTGATTAATTGATCAATAAAATTGAATCATATAATAATATAATACTATATAACAATCTAACAATATAAAGTACTGTAACTGTGTGTGTGTGTGGATTGATGTCAAGTCAGATTGGGATTTCTGCCACAGTGTTTCAGACAAGTTGACCGCTAATTTCCATAAATGACATAGTCATAGCTTTAGATAAATCACCTGGTTTCATTTGCACTTTGGTGGGAAAACTTCAATCCAACATTCCTGTGTCTTTCTCTATCTCATTCTTGGACAGGTTTGGGGCCTGGGGGGCATTCATCAGCCCACCAGGCAGGGGGCACCTTTACTCTACGCCTACCGCTGCTCCCACACTCTCTTCTGTGCTTTTCTTCTTAGCTCTTTTATTTTCACTCCTCTTTTAAGTTGTTGCCTTTGCTGTGTTTTGAACATTTTAGGGAAAGTGAGCTATATATAGTGTACTATGTCTGCAAGGTTTTTAAATCAAAGCATTGTGATCATTTTTACACACTTGCATTACATTATTAGAATAATATGTAATAAATGAATGTACACTCTTAAAATAAAAATAAAAATCTTAAAATTCACAGCGATGCCATAGAAGAACCATTTTTGGTTCCACAAAGAACTATTCAGTCAAAGGTTCTTTAAAGAACCATCTCTTTCTTACCTTTTTATAATCTGAAGAACCTTCTTTCACCACAAAGAACCTTTTGTGCATTAACATGAAAGTCAACCGTAGATCTGCCTCCAAAATGCCCATCAAGGTGCCAAGTTCCCAGTCAAAGAGTTGAGGGTGCAGGTCTGAAACTGATAGAGGGTGAGGCTTCTCTGGAAACAGTAGTGAGAGAGGAGAGAGAGAGAGAGAGAGAGAGAGAGAGAGA